TTAATTTCAGACAGCAACTGAAATATGGAGGCTCTGCATTTCTCTTACTGCTTGGTTAATAAAGCTGTTTCACCCAATGGCTCAACAGAGTGAGGCTTAGCCAACCTTCCTTTTTATTGAGACAGGAAAAGGGAGATGATGTGGGAGGGGCATCTGCCTCCTGCAAATATGTGTTGCTTTTACTGGTGGACGAATAAAGCTGCTTTGGCGAATGGCACAGCAGAATTTAGCCAGGCAGAAAATTCGATCAAGGGAGTTAGGGTGCCCCAAAATTCTCTGTGTATACAATGTGATCATCTGTCTCAAGCTTATACCATCATGTTTACCTCACATGATGTGGTGGTTTAAATGGGTTATGGACCTCACTGAACCATATGTGTGAATGCTTGGCCTATAAAAACTGGCTCTATTAGGAGGTGTGACCTTGTTAAAGAAGTGTGTCACTGTTGGGGTGTGCTTTGAGTTTTCACATGATCAAGCTATACCCAGCGTAGTACGCAGTTCACTTGCCTGTGTAACAAGTTGTAGAAATCTCAGCTCCTTCTCCAGCACCAGAACTGCCTATATGTCACATGTCCTGCCATGATGATAAAGGACAAAACCTCGGAAACTGTAAGCCAGTCCCTATGAAATGTTTTCCTTTATAATAGTTTCCATGGTCATGGTGTCTTTTCACAGCCATAGAAACCCTAGCTAAGACACAGTTGTGCTATGAACTGGAGTATTGCTGTGATAGTCCTAACCATGCTTTTGTTTGAAGGAATGGGGATTTTAGGATTATACATTAGGAAACCTATAATTTCCTAATGGAATACTTTAAAGTGTACATAGTAGGCTATCCTAGTAAGAACAGGAAAAAAAAAACTGGTGTCGAGGGTGATTTGAACTGTGAGAGTTTGGCTCAAAAGAATTTTAGAATGTTGCTTAGAGATCATTTTTATGATGTTTTGATGAATAATGTGGCTGCTTTTTGACCTTGTCCCAAAAGTCTGCCTGAAGCTAAAGGGAAGAGTTTTGAACTAATTCTGTTGGCAGAGGAATTCTCAAAATATCCTAGTATTGACTCTGCTGTATGGTTATTAGTAGCCACTCTTTTACAGGTCTATGATGAAAAGGATCAAGCTGAGCACTGAAATACACAAAATGTATACTTTGAAGGCAAAAAGGACACCAGCAAGTGGAATGGAAATAATTCCTGTATTCAAGGAGATAAATTATTAAGAAATGAAATAAAGGGAGTGGTGAACCCAACACAAGATCCTACCCAGCTAAGTTTACAAGTTGTGAAAAGGAATAAAAGAACATCCTACATCCAAGCATGGTGCTACATGTCTTTCTTCACAGTACTTAAGGCTAAGGCTGGCACACCTCTGAGTTTGAGACCACCTTGTCGACAGATAGAGTGTCAGGACAACCAAGCTTCAGAAGTGAAGAAAATCATGGAAAATGTAAACCTTGGTTAAGATGCAATTGACTAGGTGGGGCATATTCCAGATGTAGCAAGACGTAGATCTTGGGAGATTTGGCTAAGTGGTTTGGGTTGTAGAGTACAGAATACAAGGAAGGGATTATAGAATCTTCCTTCATAACTAAGGAAAGCTATTGAAGCTGGGCAGCTGTATGAAGTTATAAAGATAAAGCCTGGATTGTCTTGGAGACCCCAAGATGTTGAAGATTCCAGAGCTGTGAGATAAATGCCAGTGAGATCTGATAAGAGAGGATGGAACCCAAGAGAAAGAAATATGTTGTAGTCAACAAATCTGAAGGAGTTAGAGATATGAAGAGCAATTTCATGTCAGTCATGCAGAGTTTGCAGTTTGCCCATTGGGTTTTTGCTAGTACTTTGGTCCAGTATTTTCTCACTATGGCCACTTTGTCCATTGTATGTTGGAAGTATGTGATCTGTCTTTTGTATTTTGATTTTATAGGGGCTTACATTTAAAAGATTTCATGAATCTCAGAAAAGACATTGAACTTTGAACATTTAGGAAAATGTGAGATGGTTAAAGACACTGGAGACTTGACATTGGACTAAATGAATTTTGTTTTATGTTATGGTTATAAGTATATGGGGCCCAGAGAGTGGAATGCTTGAAACACAATGGTCCCCATAGTCTCATGTGTTTTAATATTTTGAGTTCTCATGTGCTCAAGCTATGCCCAGTGTGGTACACAGTTCATTTCCTGCTGCCTGCAGATCAAGATGTAGAACACTCAGCTACCTGTCCAGCACCACGTCTGCCTGCATGCCGCCATGTACTGCAGTGATTATAATGGTCTAAAGCTCTGATATTGTAAATCAGCCCCAATTAATTGTTTTCCTTTATAAGAGTTGCTGTGGTCATGGTGTCTCTTTATGGCAAACAAAAACAACAAAAACATCCGATTCCATATCTTTTCTGCTATGATGTATTGTATCCCCTGAACTGTAAACTAGAATAAACTCTTCATCCTTTAAGTTATTTGTTGTCAGGTGCTTGACCACAGCCTGACCGTTAGCAACAAAAGTAGCTAATACGGCAAGCATTTGTAGTGGTGAATGTGCGTGTACTATCATTATATAGAGCATAGGGAGTTGTGTGGTAGTAGTTACCCAGGTTGTTATTCAGAAAGCACAGGAGTCAAGTACAACCAAAGGCAGGTTTGAAATCTGGAAGGAACTTTTTTTAGTTGTTTTCAGTTTTCTCTCATATTTTATATTCTAAGCTGACTGTATTTTCCTAGCCCTCCAATTTTCCCAGTCTCTCCTCTCTATCTTCCCTCTTCCCCAGATCCACCCTGCTCTGTCTTCCCTCAAATAAGATGAGGGCTCCCAGGGATATCAACCAATCTCAACATAGCAATCTACAATAAAACCAGGCACATACCATCACATCAATACTGGATGAGACATTACAGTGGGAAAAATATTCAAAAGAGTCAGAGATAGCCTCTGCTCCCTCTGGCAGGAATCCCTCAAGAACCTGCAGCTACTCAGCTATAATATATATGCATAGGTCCTAGGTCAAACTCCTACAGGTTCCCTGATTTCTTTGAGACTCCATCAATCCCAGACATGTTATTCTGCGGGTCATATTCTTGTGGTGTCACTATCTATCCTCTTTGCATCCTCTGATCATTCTACCTAATGTTTGACTATGGGACTGCATCTTATCCTCTGAAGTGCTGCATGAAATCTCTGGTCTCTTTGATGGCAATTCTGCTAGGCTCTGGTCCAAGAACACTCTACAGTGTGGACAAACTAAATGTTGAAGGCTTTCTGGCTAGGTTGGTGTATTATTTGTGGCAATTTTGAAGTGTGTTTTTCCCTGAATCCTTTCACACTATGTTTGTCATTTGTATATAGAAGAGCTACTGCTTTTTGTTTTTGTTGTTTACTTTGTATCCAGCCACTTTGCTGAAGGTATTTATCAGCTATGGGAGTTTCCTGGTAGAATTTTTGAGGTACCATATTATTGGCAAATAAGGATGCTGTAACTTTTTCTTTTCCAATGTGCATCCCTTGTTATCCTCTATTTGTCTTTTTCCTCTACCTAGAACTTCTAGTACTATATTGAATAGATATGGAAAAAAAGGCAACCTTATCTTGTTCCTGGTTTTAGTGGAATTGTTTTGAGTTCACATCATTTAATTAGATGTTTGTTGGCTAATGGCTTGCTGTAAATTGCCTTTATTCTATTTGGTACATCCCTTGTATCACTGATTTCTCCAAGACTTTTATGAAGAAGAGGTTGGATTTTGTCAAAATCTTTTAAAATGTCTAATGAGATGATCATGTAGGGTGTTTTTATTTCAGTTTTTTATATAATGGATTACATTGAAAGATTTTTATAAATTGAACTATTCCTGCATCTCTGGGATATAGCCTACTCAGTAAATAGCCCAGGGTGAAACTGAACTTCTGATCCTCCTGCCCCTACATCCTGAATATAGAGATTACAGCTGTACAACACCATGTTTAGCTTATGTGTCACTGGAGATGGTTTAGGGGCTGTGTGTTTGGTAGGCAAGCACTCAACAAAGTGAGCTACATTCTCTACTAATACACCCTTTTTTGTTTGTTTCCCTGTTTTTAGAGACAGGGTTTCTCTGTGTAGTAGTTCTACCAGTCCTGGAACTCACTTTGTAGACAGGCATGGCCTGGAACTCACTGAGATCCACCTGCCTCTGCTTCCCTAGTGCTGGGATTAAAGGCATGCACCACCACTACCCAGCCACTAACACATAATATTTCCCAGGTTCAGTCCTCTCCTGTAGTTGCTACCCCATGTAACTGCAAATAAATTTACTAAATTTGAAATGCAGTCAACATCACTTTAGTGTTGATCTCTGTTTCTGACTTCTATCTTTGGAATTTACTATCCCTTCACGCCCCTTCCTTTTCTCTGTTCTTCCCCAATAATTCCATTTTGCTAATTTCCCCAAGGTTATACAATGCATTCTTTGCAGGCAGTTACACTCATAGCATATTCCTCCCTCTAGTTGCCCACCTCACTCTCATGAGAGCATTATTTGCTTAGAAAGCCTCTCCCCCTGTCTCTTTCTCTCTCTCTCTCCCATACCATTCTTCCTTGGGAGCCAGGGATCAATTTCCTTTTTGTGCTAGTATTTTCCTATGTGTATTGCTTTTAATGCTATGCAAAGTTTGTCACCTAGTTGACTCACCATACAGCTGGCTTTTCTTGGGCTGTGAATGTAATAATCTAATAATCATGTTTCTATTTTGGGGGGTTAACTAGAAGATTGTTGGTTCTTCCTCTTCCCTCTCCCTGGAATCTCAGACTGCCTTTACAGATAGCACAAAGATCTTAAAACATAAACAGGAAGCAGTGCTGTGAGCCTGATTGAGCGAAGATAGCATATTTTTCCCTTTAAGATCTCGGAGCTGGATGTGGCGTGGTCCTGAAATTAAGGTCATTGCTGGATGGTTGCTTATACCAACTGTCAGATTGTGGAATAAAAAATGGCTTTTATATGTTTGCTTTTCTATTGTTTTTCAGGGCAATGTCACTTTTTCCTGCTCAGAACCACAAATAGTCCCCATCACATTTGTCAACCCCAGAAGCAGTTATTTGCTACTGCCCGGCACTCCCCAGATTGATGGACTGTCAGTGAGTTTCCAGTTTCGAACATGGAACAGGGATGGCCTGCTACTGTCCACAGAGCTGTCTGAAGGCTCCGGGACCCTAATGCTCATGCTGGAGGGTGGGACTCTGAAGCTCCTGATTAAGCAAGTGGCAGGACAAGGAATTGAGACCCTCACAGGTACAGTAATTGCAGATGTCCCTATAATAACCCTTTCCCTCTGCTCCCCTCCTTATCTATCTTAACTTTCTTTCTCTTTTCCTCCACTCTCCGCCCCTTCCTGCTTTACATTGCCCCTCCTCTCCTCCCTTCTTCTTTATTTTGTTTATAATGCTTTATTCTTCACCTAAGTTAACCAAGGCTGAGTTTCTGCCTAAAGCTACCAAATCATACTTAGGGATGAAGGATGGCCCAGTGGTGGCAAGTTTACTGCACACGTGAAAGGGATGGCTCTACCTCACAAACAGAAACTGTCTGAATTCACCATGTGTACTTCCTCAATTGTCTCTGTAGTGGGAGCTAGATTTCGCATCCAGGACTATTTAGCACACTGTACCATCTATGGAGTGGTCTTCTTAGTCTTTTTTAGAGATCTCTCATGGTGTGTATCATCTTTACCATGGTCACGCAAGGAAATACTATTTTTCAAACGTTACACATTAGCAAATCATGAGTTACAAAAGTGTCTCCAAAATCATAGGTTTCAAAACGATAGAACTAAGGATTTGTTTAGAATTTGTCTGGCTCCCATGTCATACTTTTATAAGATATTGGGGATTTCTTTTTACAGTTCCCTGTTTTATTTAATATTCATGAGCTTTAGCAATTGTATTTCTTTTTGTTTGTTTGCTTGCTTACTTGGTTACTCATTATTTGTTAGTAGTTAGTCTTGCTCAGGTGGGTGGAAGTTTTTTATTATTATTGTTTCATTTCATCTAACTTTACAAATCATTCCCAGTTCCTTCTTGTTCCCATCCTCCCCCCGCCCCCTGATTCCCCCATTCCATCCCCTATCCACTCCTCAGGGAGGGTGAGGCCTTCCATGAGGGATCATCAAAATCTATCAAGTCATTTGGTATTGGGTATAGTACCTTCCCCATGTCTCTAGGCTAAATATATTTCAAAGGTATTAAGTATGTACTGTTATACTGTTATGTCTGTCCTCTGGAGGTGATGAAACTTTTCTAACTGATCGTAAGTAAGTTGACTAAAGTTTGGGAAGTAGGTGTGTGTGTGTGTGTGTGTGTGTGTGTCTGTGTGTGTGATGCATGTTGTGTATACCTCATTTATATGGATATGTGCACACTGAAATCAAGAAAGGACATTTTATTTGGGGTATGGGTAGTTGTGAGCAACCAGCACGGTCTCTCTGGAAGAACAGCAAGTGCTCTCAATCACAAAGCCGTCTCTCCAGCCTTTAAGCTGAGTTTCCTAAACATGGAAGAATATAACCTTGTCCCTCTTTTTCTATTGGCTGATGGGTATCTTGTAATCATAAAGTGACACTGTGCTTTCCTAGGTGGCAAGTATTGAATGAGGTTGGACAATTGTACGAGGCTGGGGTTGAGGCATCTGGATCAGTCAACAGAACCTGTGAGAAATCATGCAAACAAATATCCCATTGCAGTGCTCTGGACCATCATGCAGCACAGAATTCACTACAATGTGTTATTCTCTCTTTAGATGACTTTCTTTTTTTCGGCATTTGGCCCATGTATTTTATCACTCAAATAGACTAGATAAAATTGGGTTAAATATTAAAGAATACGATATAATAGTCACAGTCTGGTTAGGCCATGGGAAGCCATAAGGAGGTCACTGGAGTTCATTTCAGGTCAGGCTCTAGCATTCATCACCTTATTCTCTTGAGACAGGCTTTCTCACTGCAACTTCCAGACAGAAGCATTTATTTCAGCTCCTAGTTTGAGGCCATAGTCCTGGTGGCAGGAGCTCATGGCATCTGGTTGGGTACATTGGTTCAGAAGTCGAGAAACAAAGAGAGATGAAGGATTAGCTGACTTCCATCTTTTTAGTCAGTCCAGGACTCCGGCCAGTTAAATGGTGTGAGCCACACGGAGGTGTGTCTTTCCATTTCAACTAACACAGTGTAGAAATTCACTCACAGACATGCCCTGAGTTGATTCTAGATCCTGTCAAATTGTCAGTCAACAATAATAACGACTACATCCAAAATAGAAACCATAATCTTTTGTAACCTAATCTTGGATATGGCAACCTGTCATTTCTGCCTTATCCTGTTCAATATATGCCAAGAAATAAGGCCAGTTCACGATTCAGTGGATTAATTCCCCTTTCTAGGCTACAGAGTGTTTGCATCTGAAGCAGAGGGGGCCTGCCATTGACTCCAAAATAGCATAAAAAGCTGTCCATGGTAGCATACACTTATAATCCCAACCTGCAGTGGTTGGGGACAGGTGGATCCCTGGACCTTGCTGGCCAGTTCATCTAGCTTACTCAGTGAGCTGAGTGGGCCAGTGAGGGACCTTGTCTCAAAGGAGGCAGATCGTGTGCCTTAAGATGACACTGAGGCTGGTTTTCATGTGTGTGTTCATATGTGCATACGCAGCCTTCGCTCACACAAACACAAACATAGATAACCATAAAAGTGACTTTCTAAGGCTATGACAGTCATTAATGAAAAGAGTGTACCTGAAACACTTAGCAGAGTATTAAGAAGATGATCAATAAATATCCATTCCCTCCATACCAAGTGAGGGGCCTCATCCCATTGAGTTGTAAAAGCTGTTAGTGAATCTGCAGCCAGAGGACTTTTCTAATATTTATTAGATTCCTGCTAATAGAGGTGAGGTATTCATTTTGAATGATAATATTTTTCCTGTTCATGGCAATAAAATTTAAACCATGACCTCCCTTATTTGGAGAATAAAAATGCAAGCTGGCACTGAGCTGTCTCTTGCTAACTGGTATGATGTTGGAACACAAAGATTTGTAGGCCTTGGTTCACAAATGCAGTTTCAAATGTGGTACAGGCCCTGGCAGTGAGTCCTCTAAAAGAACAGGAGTACCTGTACTATTAAGCATATGGTACTCCATTAACACTCACTTTAGTCTGAGAGGAAGGCCAGTAAGAGTTGCTGTCTTACTCAGCTATAAAGGAGCAAAGGGAATTGTATCATTGCTGTAAGTGCTGGACCAAGTGAAATTAAAATGAGTACTTTAACAAGTGAAGCTTGTGTCAGAAGGCTAGCCTATAATTCTCTCCCCCAAGAGGATTTTCCAACACTTTCAAAGTTTGAATCTCTCAATGTACTTTTTTAAATGGACTAAGAATGTATTTGTTCTCAGGGTTTTCTACTTGCCTTAAATATCTAGACAAATTTTCTTTGAAAATAAATGAGATCTAAAAAAAATAATAATTGAGATCTTACTGGCTTCAGGAGAGAGGAAAACAATACACAAGTGAACAATAATTGTCTCAGTAACCTTTGTGTGTGTGTGTGTACATATGGTGTACATATGTTTGTGTATGTATTTGTGCATGTCTGTATATTCGGAGTTACATGTGCCTTTATACTATACAGAGGTAAGAGGGTGATGTAGGGCACCTGCTATGTCATTTCTTTATTTCTTCAAGACAGGATTTCTTGCTAAACCTGGAATTAAGCTGACAGCCACCCAGGATCCATCTATCTCCACCATTCATAGAGTTAGGGTTACAGAGCCCCATGTGGCCACACCTGGCTGTGATATTCAGGAGGTTCCATATTAGGTCCTCATGATACTTAACTTTCTTATCTAATGAGCCATCTGGTCTGAAAGCTGTAAGAGCAAATGAGCCTCCCCTTGACACAGGATGTACCTTGTAAAGCAGACTGTGACACTATTTATTATTGGCTCAGGGTATCCAGAGCTACTTATGATTAGGTCAGGTTTTCTTACATCTTTCTGTCAGAGAGGGAAGTTGACTCTTGTAGAAAGAAAAGCTCAGAGCTGACTACTAACTTTCTACAAAGGACACTAAAATTTCAAGGTGTTGTTATCTTTTATACTGAAAGTGAGAGAAAGGCTAGCAAAGTAAATAAACTCCCCACATAGAAAAAACATGAATTCCATTGTTTTGTGGGATGGATTTTGAGAAAAAGTATAATGCCTGCTTTGCATTATTTACTTTGTCTCTTTTCTCGACATAAATGTATCAGGAGAGATAAAGGACCCCATTTCTCTCCCTGAGTTGATGCTAGATCCAATGAGTATTGCACAGGCCCTGATGATCAGGCTAGACCTTATCACAGGAGTTCATAGTGAACAAATCTTATTGAACTTCACGATAGGGTAACTTTAAGGCTTGAACACCTAAAAGAAAAAAAATTATGAATTAGATGTGGAGTTCAAGGAACCAAAATAGCATTCACCTCAGGGCCTTTCATTTAGATTGTAATATGTCATTTTTTGATGATTTCCCTGAAAATAATGTACAGGTATGTCCTTCTTGGTTTTTCTCTAAGAATTTGTATGGAGAGTCTCAAGGAGTTTTAAGGATCAGAGCCTGCTCTCTCTCAGTCATAGTTTCCTTCCTGCTGCTGTAATAAGACACTCCAATAAAAGCAACATAGGGAGGGATTCTTCCTTTGCCTCACAGTTTCAGGGCGCAGTCCGTTCTGTAGAGAGGCAATGGCAGCAAGGGCTTGATGGAGATGGTCTCACTGCATCCAGTGCCAGGAAGCAGGGAGGGGAGTGCTGGCTTGTGGTTAGCTCGGTTTTCCTTTTCTACAGTTCAAGATCCCAACCTCAGGAATGATGCCACCTGCACTGGGAGGATCTTCCCACCTAATCAAGACAGCCTGTCATGGGCATACCCAAAAGCTTACCTAACCAAGATATCCCTCACAGACTCACAGATGTGCCTGGAAGCTTGCCTCAGATATCTATCTCTATCTCTATCTCTATCTCTATCTCTATCTCTATCCCTATCCCTATCCCTATCCCTATCCCTATCCCTATCCCTATCCCTATCCCTATCTCTATCTCTATCTCTATCCCTATCCCTATCTCTATCTCTATCTCTATCTCTATATATCTCTATATCTCTATATCTCTACATCTCTATATCTATCTATCTCTATCTCTATCTATCTATATATCTATATATCTATATCTATATCTATCTATCTACATATATATATATATATCACTGAGTTTACTGCTCATTCGTTGTCATAATATGCACAGATTAATAGACCAATACAGATTCAGTGAGAATTTTACACATGACATTTGTCATGTCAGATGATGGATGTGGTATATACATGTGTATGACATGGGTGGACATTAAATGTCGTCTTCTATTGCGCTTCCCCATAGCTTTTTGAGGCAGGAGTACTTTACCCTGCTGCTCACTGAGTTGACTAGACTGGCTACCCAGGGAACTTCCAGGACCCACCTGTCTCCCTACCCCAGTGCTGGTGTTACAGGCCTGGGCTGCCAAGTTTAGATTTTACATGATTTGGGACTCTGAACTGACATCCTCATGTGTCAACAGCAGACATTTTCCCCACTAATTCATCAATAGGCCATTGTAGATGCCTTTTATTACTAATAATGCTGCAGTGAGGTTATCATCAATGATGAGACCTAAAGTAACGTGACATCTACCTCAGGAAGGACAAACTCTGTTTCACAGATTTGTCTCATACTACAAAGCTCTTTTCATTACAGACCCTTGTATCTCTGGCCTTCTAAGACTCAGAAGCAACATAGTCATAGAGAACACACTCACAGCATCACAGTCCAGAGGGAGCTTGGCTGAGTCCTCTCGGGACTGGGAACTCCAATTAGGCTTTTTCCTGTATTCCTGACTAACCCTCCCCACACTGCTATGCACTATGGAAACTCAGGGTCATTTTGCCCCGAGATCTCAGAACATGTTCTCCTCTGAACCTATGTCATTGTCCTTTATTTGTTTTTCTTTTCTTCTTAGCCCTCCTCTGCTTTCCACACCTCTGCGCTTTCTTTCTCCCCTTTCCTGCCCTCTCATCCTTATTTCCTCCTTTCTCTTTTCTTTTCCCATCCGCCCTCCTTCTCTCCCTCCCTCCCTCCCTCCCTCACTCCCTTTTTCTTTCCTTCCTTCTCCCCTCCCTCCCTTCTTTCCTTCCTTCTCCCCTCCCTCCTTTCTTTCCTTCCTTCCTTCCTTCCTTCCTTCCTTCCTTCCTTCCTTCCTTTCTTTCTTTCTGTTTTGCAATATGGGCCTTGCTACATAGCCCAGGTTGCCTTGAATTCTAAATCTTCTTGCATCGTTCGGAATACTGGAGTTACAGGGATGAATTGCTATGTTAGCCTCACTTTCTAAACTTTTAATTCTTGTGTTTGTGTGAGTCTGTCATCTTTGTGTGTTCATGTGTGGACTTCAGACATTTGTGTACCAGTGTATGTATGGAAGTCAGAGTACTGTGTTATGTTTCAGTATTTTCTTTTCACCTTGTTTGAGATGGCATCTTCTTGTTCTCTGTTGTGAGTGCAAAGCTATCTGGACCACAAGCTTGCAGGAATTTTCTCATTCCTCCTCCATTTGTTATTAGAGTGCTAGGCATACTAACAATACTGCCACAACTGGGTTTATGAGACCACAGGAGATCTGGAATCATGATCTCGTACATGCATGGCACTTTACCAATTGGACCATCTCTACAGACCCATACTACATATGTAAGGATATTTTAAAAATCTCTCAAAGAGATGCTTATAATAGAAGCTAGTATTGTCTAGTCCTATCTGACTACTAAGAGGACAGAATATTTCATAAAAGTAAGAGAAATCCCTTGGTTCATTTTATAAACAAGACTTGAGGGGAAAGCTTTGAATGTCATATAAAACATTAAATAACAGAAAAGGAAAATAGCACTGCTGAGATTCTCTTCAAAGACATAGGCAGTTCATCAGTTCATGTGAGGTTTTTTTTTTTTTTTTTTTTTTTTTTTTTTTTTTTCTTGTTGGAAAACTCAAAGTAGAAAGAAAGAATAGGACAAAAAGGAAGTATGATACCTCAGTCTTTGAAGTAATTTTTATTGTAGTGCTTCCCTGCCCACTGAAGACAGACTCAGAGCCAAGAGCTAGAACTCAACCCTTTTGCAACTCGGGCACTGGTGAGCTCTGCTTGGCTTCAGAGTCAAGGAACTTCAATTGTATAAACACCTCTATCCTCTGTCACCGAAAGGAAAGAATATTCTGGAATTATGGCCACTTTGGCTAACCCTGTCTATAGGTCCTCAAAGAGAAAAGTAAGACAACTCTGTCCCTTAGTAATTTTAAGAAGGTTGGCAAACCAAGAGTTTTCTTTGGAAAATGGACCAAGATGATGTAATGATGAGTATCCAGTGTCAAATCCCTTAAAATACATGGAAGCCCTCATCCATAAGCAAGGTTGTCCCATCTTCAAAGATAGCTCATACATTCAAGCACACACAGTAGTCTAACATGCTCAAAGACGGTTATTTAAATCTTGGATCTTGGGCGTACTCTGGAGAGCTGTGTTGAAGGTCTGGCCCCCACTGAGAATGTTACTGAGATAAATAGACCCTCTAAGAGCTAAGAGTTCATGCTTCTCAAATACAACATTTCACTGTAATAAATCAAAACAAAAAAAAATAGAAAGAACGAAAGAAAATAGAACTTTGCAAGTTTCATACCATGATTTTTTTTTTTTTTTTTTTTTTTAGTGGAGATGCCATATGTACCAGAGAGGACACATCTGTACCTTTTTGTATAGAATTACAAGACAAGTATTTAAATAGGATTCTGGTAACCTTCTATCAGTTAGCTTTATGGTGTTATGAGAAATTGCCTGCCAGAGATAAACTGTTTAAATGAGAGAAAATCTCTTTTGCCTCATGCCTCCCAAGGTTTTTATTCACAATAACCACAAAACAAATAAATGGAGTTGACCTCACAAATATTTCTGAAAATATGAATTTTAGAAGGGAAGGAGCTAGCAGGGATTTTAATAAACATTTTATTAGAGCAATTGTATGCTATAGAATATGTCAAACCTAAGAAGGAAATGTCCTCAATGGAAGCATCATCG